AACGAGATGTCACCACACAAAAACAACAATGGAGGTCAAAATATCGCAACTGTCGCTGAAAATGATTCTTATTTTAATGTATAAAGTTTAATAAAAAAACTGTATATTTTAAAATATCAAATGATTCATTAGTCAGACTCGTATGCTAGACTACATCGTTTGACCTTAACGAGTGCAACACGCGTTATCAGATAGCATTTGCGTTTGAAGGACGTCGTGTTATATTTTTACAATTAAAAGACAGTTTTGCACGTTATTGCGTAATATATTACTTACGTAAAATAATGTATTTTTTCTACGTTTACCAGTTTTGGCGAAATACGCTACTTGGGATATGTAGGTACCTGAAATATTGAGAACGTTACAAATTATTTTTTTTTATGTAATCACAGCGTTCTTAAAGTTTGAGTAACTTTATTTTTATCTGCCATGTAACCGAATAGCGTTTTTGTTCTCATTATTAGAGTTTTTTTACCAAACAATTATAAATGAGGCCGTTTTAGGAACACTGTTCCGTAATTACTGTACTGATTGAATAATCATTTAGTACAACATATATAAGTCGGTAAAAGAAGTAAACAAATAAATTTAAAACATGCCGTCCTTAAATTTAAAACATGTTAAAGGGGTAAAGTTAGAAAACTAGAATAAGTTATGCAAACTATATGATGTGACATATCAATTAAATGGGTTTATTAATAGGTTTTATGCTCTACTTGTACATATTTTTGTAATCAGTAAATTTTATTATTTAATAATAACACTGAACCCTCTGCCTAAGTGCGAATCATTCTTGACCAGTATTTTATTAACAAGTAAAACAAAAATTTGTATCCTGTTTACAAAAGTTGCGCAGACGAAGGAGTACCTATTAAATTTGCAACAGTTAAAGTTTATATGGAGAAAAAATGCAGAATGCTAATGTTTTTGTTTATGGAATCGCTTAATAAATACATTTATATAATACTATCTTTCCGCCAGCGGCTTCGCCCGCGTGGTATTGTATTATACATACTAACCTTCCTATTGAATCACCCTATATATGAAGAAAGACCACATCAAAATCCGTTGCGTAGTTTTAAAGATTTAAGCATACATAGGGATATAAGCATACAGAGAAAGTGACATTGTTTTATACTATGTAGTGAAAAATACATTTCACACGCTATCCTGCGTTTGACGCCTTGTATGCTAAATTATTTAAAAAAATGTGTATTATAAAAAAAGGATATATTATTTATGTAGTTATAAAACCTTCATGTTTAAACTATAAAAAACGGCAATTTGTAATACATTAGTGCATTTCGACGCTTGCATTAAAAATTCAATGTAAAATTTATTCAAAAGGAATACGATTTGAGTTACAAGTAAATTTGTGTGTTGTCACACTAAATTATAATGGGACTCGAACACATGACCTTTTGCAATTTGGGTGACTGCTTTTTAAGCATTTTTTATTAAGAATATTTTCTAAAATAGCACCGTGAGTGCAAAATTGTTCAAATATAAAAAAATTTGGAATCGTTAAAAATACAAATCATTTCAGATTTTTTTTTCTTATAAATAGAGTGAAAAATGTTATCAGTAGATATGAAAATATTATTTCTTATCTATGAGGTATTTCATCTTAAAAATTACATAATGTTTCTCAAATACAAAGGCCACATAAAGCAACTTGTACTTGCCACCGATGCGGTGTCAATTAAACAGTAATCTGAATTGCCAAAGACAAAACAGAAGCACATGTGCATAAAAGAAAGAACAATAAGAAATACGATTGGATTTTTTTTTTATTTAAGAAATTCCAAAAATATCGTATTTATTTGTTAAGGCTTTGATACAAATACAATATTTTGTTTTCATTGTACGTATCAAATTAATAACGAACACACAAAGAACCTTTTTTTGTACTTTCTGTTTAAATTTCTGGAAATTAGAAAAAAAAATATTTCAGATTAGTAAATTATTTAGGAAACTAGCTTATGCTATGTTAAGAGACGATGTCTTGATGCTTTTTTGTTACAATATTTTAAAAAAGTACTAAAGATGGGGATGTTTACCTCATTATTTACATGGCTGTTTATTTAAGTATTTCTTTTACATAAAAAAAATATGAAGTATATCATTTGAAATGGGTTGTTCAGTATTCATCTTATGAAATTATATGGTCATTCACTATGAAGTTTTTTTCCGTTAAACAGTAGACGAGCATGCATATAAACGTATCCATGATAGGTAAATTTTTAATTTTATTATATGATAATTTAAGGTCATTAGCAATATTATTATAAAGTGAAAAACCAATGACTAATTGATATGATATTTAGATTTTAACTATTATATTAATAATTAAGTCCGCCCTTTAATGCATTGCAATAAAAATTGAATAAATTATAATATTTTCCTTATTATATTTATTCAATTTTGTTATTCACAATGTCAAACTGGAAAATGTTCTTAATGTAAAATGCTTAAATATCCACTTTGTTCGATATTTAAAATAAGCAAAAAGATTTTTCTGCTAATTTTAAATATCAAACGAAATGATTCAGTTCTTAATTTTTTTTTTATTGTTTTATATATTTTTTGCATTATTCCATCTAATAATACAATTGAATTGACACTTCTTTAATTTGATTGCAATTTTTTACTGTATATAAGATATATTTCAATAACTAGAAATTGATTCTGATACGTATACTTCATATTATATTGACTATCTGTACTCCTGCGCCTGTGTATGATATAAGTTACATTTTAGGTGAAGATTTCGAAACCTATTAAATGCAAACAAAAATAATATCTTTCCTCCTTCTAGTATTAGTATAGAATAGTTTTTATAAGTGAATTATTGGTCAATACTTAATTCTTTAAATTAATAATGCAAAAAACTATATATTCATACTTTTAGAATCATTTAAATTAATATCAATTTTGTATTCCTAAACAAAACAAATCTCAATATTAACAGTGAACAGTTTACAATAAGATACCAACTTAAGAATTAAGCTGATTTAATTTTTTGTATTTGATTGATTCAATTTGCGAAAATTCATTTAAATTGATTTCAGTCGACGCTTTGTTAAAAAAAAGCAATGGAATTGTAAGAATTATTAAAATAAAACTGTTATTTTTCTAAAAACTAATAAGTTATTAATAGAAAATGTAGCTATAGAAAATAATATTATGTATTTCTCATATTTTGACAAATTTAATCAAAATACGATTACTTGTTTAGACATGAAGGTGTATCAGACAGACAGTTATTTTCACATTCCTAAAATTTTAATAGTATATTACATATAATACCTTTAAAGACTTATTAAAAATCATTATTTGTAGCGCTTTTCCATTACAAACTAATAATAACCTAATAATATTTCTTCTATGTAATACCAAGAATACCGGTACTGGGAATGTGAAAATGTTAGTAAAAATAGTTTTCCAAGAAGTCAAAACCACAATAAGGAATAATAAAAAAGTAGGTACTATAGAGGTATACAACTTCGAATTTATATTGCAAAAAGATTTCCTTCTCAGTTATCTATACTAATATTATAAAGATATAAAATTTCTTTCTTTGTTTGTACGGGGTAATCTTCGGCAATACTAATTATAGACTAAAATTATAGACGCGGAAGAAGTCGAGGGATAACAGCTAATCTGAAGTAAGAACATATAATCCATTTCTTTATTTCATTCTTTAAATAATATATTTGTACCTAAATATAAGAAGTTTTACCCCTTGTCGTTTTTAATTTTTTGTCGCTCATTTTTATTTTCTCAATTTTACGACTTTTTTCAATAAAACCCGTATCGTTTTTTGTTTTTCATTATATTTTTTTTTATATTGTATTACTAACAATTTGTACACATACTTTCTAGTATACAACTAAGAAAGTGTTTGAATTTATGAACAGATAAATATAATTGTATTAATTATTTTTGTTGTTTAAAACAAAACGGTGTAACATTTATTTCAAGAAGATAAAAAAAAATTATTAACAATAATAGTAAACAAAAAGGTAATTAAAAAATTATCGATTTCACTAAGAAACCACAAAAACTTCAATTGATGACCCTCTTTAGTTAGATCTCGAGGTACATGGCCTCCTTAGTTAGATCTCGAGGTATTAATTTTAATATGTTATAAAAATAAAGTACTTCTTTAATGAAAGTGTTATTTGGTTTATGAAAACCATAATATAAATAAAAACGTACAGATGATACTTTTGCACTTCCTTTCCATATATATTTAAAGCTTAACTACGTATCTAGAGGCCTTGATGTACCTACTGCGTTTGTCAACACACATTTCTATACTTTAAAAGTTAGATAATGTAGCAGTCACTTGAAATTTTTTGTAAACAAAAGAACTGTCGTTCAAAATTAATTCAAATTCTCAATACAAAAATTCTTATTGATAGTTTTTTTTTTTTTGTTTTTTTTTTTACTTTATTTGGTAAACTTACCGAAATCCGTTTAAAGTTGTTAGAAAAGACTTGGTTTTGTAATGATTTAAGTCTGCTACGATGTACTGCAACCGGATTAAGTAGCCTACCCGTTGCAATGCAATTCTTATCTATACCTAGAGTAATGATATGATATCGTGTAGCAGTATTTTTAAAATTTATCTTATTTTTATCGCACTTTACTAATACAAACTGCAACGACAAAAACTGCAACTTCATTGCACATTTTAAAATTAGTTTAGATGGTAGGAATCGAATTCGTAATTACGTTAAACTTTTAAATTTATGAAAATGTGTATGTAATCAAATTCTATGCGCTGCATTTAGATGTCTAATCTGCTTTGGTCATGCGTGAGCTTGTAACGGAAATTTATATGAGTCACCGATGACGTGCCCTTTCACGTGTTTCGGACCTACCTATAGCGTTACGGCGTGTAGTATGCGCGGGCAGCTGAAGAAGGGTGCGCTAGGGCGCGCTGGACGTTGGCGTTCGGCGCACAAACACTCACATTCAAATATCCGTCTAACCTTGATGCGAATCGGCGCACTCCGGGTTCCATCCGACGACAGTCGTCAATACAGACGGGCTGAAGGGCTCGCTTCAGGTGTAACAGTGAAAGCGCCGGTGCGTTGCGGTTGAGGCGCGTATCGCGTGCGTGGGTGTCGCGGCGCGGGAGTTGGGCTCGGGCCGGACGGCAGGCGCATCGGCGCGCCGCCACCGGCGGTGGAGTCGCAGGGCTGCGGCGCGGCGGCCGCGCTACATGTCACAGTGCGGCGAGCGCGCTCCTCGCGCCGTGGTCACCGACTCACAGTGGCGTCGCCGTCCTACTGTCTGCCCGACGGCCGGGACAGCGGCGCGCGTTGCACCGCCCCGCTGCACTCCGCCTGCCCCCCTGGCGCTGCGCCCCCCTCGTTCGCCCCCTCCTCTCGTCGCACACCCGCCCCGCCCTGAAGAATTTTCCGCATCGGGCGGGAAAAATCGATTGTGCAGCGGCCCCCGAATAATTTCGGCAAGACGCACGGCGCCCTTGCGTCCTCACCGCTCGCCTGAGCCAGTGGTCAAGCGCATATGCCTTTCTTTCGGTCCACATCGACCGCCGAATAACACTTGAATTTAACTCTCATTTTTGTTGCATTTTATTTTGTTGCGACTTATGTCTAGAGTCTAGACATTATGACCTAGAAATAATAAGGTAGGTGGCTGATGATCATTCTCATTTTTTGAATATTCATAGTACTGGTATCCACTCCTTTAGCAAAATCATGTACACAACATGAATTAGTTAAGTTAGTAGACCTTCATATCAGATGAAAAGATGACATAACTAGCTACAGTTTTTATACGTACGTTTTTCATTGAGTTTTTATGTATAAGTACGACTACAATTTCTTGTCTATCTTCCTTATATTCGATCACAGGTTATTTAGGTTTAAAACCCATTAATTATTAATATGATATTTACTGATGATTTTAAAGTAAAGGAACTAGTATAATATAAAAATCAAAAGTCACTTTTAATTTGTAACGAGAAAACTATTGAATTTAAAACTTTGATAAACTTCATAAAGCCCACCTAGAGAGTCTTAGTGAAAGAGAGCAGACGCCTCCAAAAAGTAGAGAGCTGCCTTAACTCGATAAGTATTGTTTTATATTTCGAGAGAGTTAAATTCTTAATTGGTTGTTTTAAAATCTGTTCTATTTTTGTCTTACACATTCTTCTAATCATTATGCAATACAATTTATTAGTTTTATCTAGTAACAAATTAGTCAAAGCGCCAGTGCGTTAATGTTTGTAGAAATTTCTTTTTTATTATACACCCTGGAACGAAAATTTCGGACAAATTCAAATCCTCTATAACTAAAGAAGTTCAAGCGCTACTCCCTTAGATATTGTTGTTATTAAAAGGAAACTTATCTTAACAGAAATAACGGTAATACAAGGTAAAGTTTAGAAACCAGGAGGCATCAAAAGCTGTTCAAAACACTTAATGTATCACGTTAAAATTTTTAAATACTTGTAGGCAACAAGGCAGAAACAATTTGTACACAACTGCCAATTTGCTTTTTAAAAGTTGTTGTAACTTTATGAATTATTTTCCTATGACTTTTTGGGACTTTTTTATGAGGATTTTAAGCATTTCTAGTGCATTAGATACTATGTGTTCTTTTCTGTTAATGTCGTATCACTAAACAATATTTGATTTTCCATGGAGAAGCTTTAGGCTGCATGGTCTCCATTCCTAGAGCTTTCAAGTATTATATCGCTTTTTCCTTAGTATCAAGGCATTAATTATATCTTTTAATTATATAAATAGAATTTATTTATTATATTTCATAAATTATTCATTGATAATGCTATATTGAAAAATATTTCTAATGAAAGATGCTTAAAAACCACGGGCCCGGATTGCCAAAGGTCATGCATGGGTTCGAGTCCAATCTCAGAGTGCCAGGGACAAAGTGGATTTTCAAGCGTTTTTAATTAGGAATATTAGAGTTGTTGATATATGGGATTCATGTGTTTGAAGTGAAACACTTACAGCGCGAAATATTTTAAAACAAATCTTTAATAATATAAATGCGGTTATAAAATACGATATAACCGTAATGTTTTCTTTGTAAACGGATATATTATTATGAAAATATGTTTATTATCAAAATCTAGGAAAAATTATTACGATATGCTTTAATATTAAACGTAAGCATGTAACTACAATAGAAATTTCATAAAACTGGAATGTGTGTTCCGAATTCTAAGAATATTACAACACTTTGCTTGGTGTTGTGTTTCGAATGTATTGATGTCAATTATTTTACTTTTGCGTCGTAAATTTGGAGTTAAATAATACTGCTGTACTTTTTATTATGATTAAGGCCACTTAAAATAGAGGTATCTTCGACAGGAAGACGTACAAGCGGGCTCTGAGAGCTAAATCTGTTTATTTATAGTCAAAAATTCGGATAATTTCGTATAATTTGGTTAAAAGCATATTCATTGCATAATTAAACCGAAAAACAGGTTTCTTTGGAGTCATATTAGCATTTCGAAAAAAGATAACTTGAACTCTACTTTGAACATAGTGTTGTCGCAGCATAGAGGTTCAATGAAATAAAAACTTTATTACTTTTAGAAGTTTTATTTGATTGAACCTCAATGATGTGACAGCGTTGTGCTCGACGTCTAGTTTAATTATGATTTTATTTAATAGCATTACAGAACACGACAGTGTCCATTATTATGTCATCCATGGTTGAATGATGTAAAATTGACAATTGGGAAAGAAAAATATCGCAATCAGACAGACGATTAAGTACCAATGAAAAAGCTTTTGGTTTACAGAAATATAATTTTAAAATATGCTAAATATTAAAAAGATAAAATTTTCTTTCATGAATCGGGCACCAGCTAATGGTGAACTATCCTGCAAATATAATTAGCAAATACCTCAACCACACGCTCGTATAAAGGACTGTGGTGATTTTTCTAGTTCATTACAATTTAAGATCAAAGTTTTACACACAATTGAAATAATAAGCCAATTGAACCTGTATATATTATTTCGTTGCTAACAGTAAAATATTTAACCATTAATATTGTATAATATCGTGCATCCTTTAAACAATAGATTAATAATATTACTGTAATCTATGATACTTGAGTACTGACGTACTATTATATCATTTGAATTAAAGGATATAAAGGATATACATATATTATTTATTGATCAATAACATAGGTTTTGTATTAATATGTCAATCGTGATACTGTACAGTGTTAGCTCATTTATTTTAATAAATCAATTTGTAAATAATTTAAAATGAGCCATAACAATTACGAGTTCTTTTTGTCGGCATCATCAGCCTGTTATCGAAACATATCGAATCGGATAGGGGGCATAACTTATCAGGCGGGTGCCAGTGCGGTTCGGGCACTGTATATGGAGCAGTCCCTGCTGGATCCCACGTCCTTCCCCCAAAAGTGAGGGTGCATAGGCAGGGGCTTGTCAAACGGTAGGGACAGTGCATATAGCATTCCCCCTGACTCAAAAAAGGGTGACAATACGGTTCAGTAGGTGGTAACGTTACAGTCAGGGCCAACAGCTTAAAATTTTTTAAACATGGAGGAGTTTGAGATAATTGGTCATCCATCATATAACATGTACATGTAGAAGTTGCTTAGCTATCGTATAGCAGACCCAAAGTGCTAAACACTACGCCGTTGAGTTCCCTGTTATATCACTGAATAAACGCATATATTTCTTACTTTCAATTTGAATACTTCCATTACTCCGTTGGTTCGTCATAATTTTTATTAAACTACTAAATATTGGTGTACGTACTAGTGTAGATATTCAATATTTATCCATGTTATTTTCTTTGGTTACTGATTATACAAATAATATTTGGAATCAGTGCCCTTATTTCGATATTGTGTCTTGTTACTGTAAATCGTTGAAACGTAATTCTCTTTTTTTTTTAACCGAATAATATCGGAGGTAAAGTAGAAAAAAGGTAACAGTAAGCACGTGGGTACTTAGGCTCTCTATTGTAAACTGTGGTCAATGACTGAATTTTGTCGATATATTTTCACCTATTTCACCTATTTATACTTAAACAAACAAGTATTATAATGTCAGTAAATATTAAAATGGTTATGTAGATATCACTACATATTTATATTTAAATATCAATAACACTATCAACGATTCTAGGATAGGATCAAAAGTAAAGCCGTTAGTATAGCTGAATCTGTAGTCTTTAATACCCAACAATCCGCTCTGGGACCGCGTTGGCGAATCATAGCCCATTATCCATATTTTTTTCGATGCCATCCATAGCAGTGGGGTTATTATTATACGTATGATAATCAATAGTTATTGATTATTTATCTTAGAATTTAAACATACAAGTGTAAAGGAGCAATCTGGACTAAAGTCAATACTCGGAGCAATTATTTGAATAAAATTGTATTTTTCCCTCGAATTGCGTTTTTAAAAAACGTTCCATAATCTCTATAAACTAATTTCATAATTTTGAAACTGTAATAGCGTTCATTTTATAATTGAAAATGAATTTGCTGATTTATTAAATAATGAAGGCAAGAAACGCAAAAGCTCTAATCAAAAGCTTGAATTTCAAATCAACTCACCGATTCCGATCCTTCCCGGTCCTATTTTAATTACGCCTCGGCAAATGTGTGACATATTAATTTCACCAATAAGCATTTCGTAACATGCAATAATGTTTTCATTTGGACGTGCGAAGTTCACATTGGTGGGTGGCTTAACGTGACAATATTTCGTACCGGCGGCGACTCTTCGCGTATTCAGCACCTTGTTTCTGGGAACAATCGTGAGAGCCACACGACTTTACATAGTTAGGTCATCTGTTTTTACGCAGGGCTTATAATTTACTCCAAATAAATGTAGTCTATTTATATGATGAATTGATCTTTTAGTTATTGACATATAAAAAATGTTCACTTCTCTTCTCAAGTCTTTTTTTATTTGTTAACAAATGTAAAATGTTGTATTTTTGTTGCAAAAACGTATATGATTTATAAACAATTTCCACTGCTGAACTCTAAAATTTACGGAGCATAATTTTTTTTTTTCTTTTTATATATTTTTATTTGTGTCAATGATGTTAAAAACCAACTACATCTTAAGTGCAAACTCTAATTGCTAGATTACTTTCACTGGCTTTTGTTTTTTTTTTCTAATAGAACAATAATTTGTTACATTTAAAATCAGATTACCTAGTCTAGAAAGTGTGGTTTCCCCCTGTTAAAAGTGCTGTACACTTTAACACAGTACTGAGAGGTGGCCATTGAACTGGATATAAAAACTAAGACAGCCACGTGTAAACCTATTTGCGCTTCGATGGTTCCGTAGTGCAACCTCATTCTATTATGATTCATTAAACTTCCGATTCGTTAATAAGTTTTGTTTATTTTCTTACACTATTTTTACTGTCAGAAATTCCAACACTATACAAATGTAATTACATAGATTTTTGTATAAATATAATTGCTTTTTCTTTAGTATTTTGTCACTACAATTGTGGTTATCAACATCTTTCACCTTTTAAACATAGTAATGCTAAAAAGGTGGAAGCGTCCAATTTGAAAATATTGCAATATATACTACGAAAAAGCAAGCTTATGTCAAAATAGCATGTCTGACACAAAAAAAATAAAATAAAAACCCAATTTTTTTACATAAGTATTTAATATTGAAATAAAAAAAATA